TGGGACTGATGTCACAATATTTTGTGACACTTCCACGGGTCAGCCACGTCCTTCTTGCCACTCCTTTCCGTCGGAAATACTTTGATAAACTCCATAATTTGAGTCATCCAGGTCTCCGTGCAACATCCCGTCTTCTCACAAAAAGGTTTGTTTGGCTTTCTATCCAGAAGGATGTTCGCGATTGGACTAAGACGTGTCTCTCATGCCAACGTAATAAGGTCACAAGGCACGTTGTCTCTCCTTTAGCTAATTTCGCTGCACCTGCAGGCCGCTTCAGGCACGTTCATGTTGATATTGTAGGTCCACTTCCCGTCTGCGAAGGCTATCGCTATCTTTTGACGACTGTAGATCGATTCACACGATGGTCTGAAGCGTGGCCAATGCGCAGTATCACCGCCGAGGAGACGGCTGACACCTTGATGACTGGCTGGATATCGAGATTTGGTGTCCCTTCCCGTATCACTACAGATCAGGGTCGCCAGTTTGAGTCCGACTTATTTCGCAAACTTATGACACTTTTAGGCACTAAAAAGCTACGAACGACTAGTTATCATCAGTGTGCGAATGGTATGGTCGAACGCCTGCATAGGCAGCTTAAGGCTTCTCTGATGTGTCGTAACGAGCCCTGGATCAAAGCATTACCTGCTGTACTTCTTGGCATGCGTGCTGTGTTAAAGGAGGATCTCAAGGCTTCAGCAACCGAAATTGTATAAGGAGAGCCCTTACATCTTCCTGGAGAGATGATCGTTCCTTCGTCAGTTTCACAAGTATCTGATCCATTTGATTTTGTCTCACGGCTTAGAATTATGATGTCAGACCTGAGACCTGTACCTGCATCTCAACATTGTAAAAGAAAAGTTTTCCTGTTTAAAGACCTTTCCACCACTTCACACGTGTTCTTGCGAGCAGACCACGTGAAGCCGCCATTGGAACAACCTTACTCAGGACCATTCCAGGTTGTCAGTCGATCAGATAAGACTGTCACTATCGTCGTGGGAAACAAGGAAGTCGTCGTGAGTATTGATCGCGTTAAACCCGCATTCATCCTCGCACACACTCCACAATTTACACAATCTCAAAATCCTGATACATTTTTACCCTCTTCAGTTACGAATCAGTTACCTTCACACACACAAAATCCTCTCACTCAAAACACAAGTAATTCTGGCCATGACTCTCCAGCCCCATCACCCAAATACACTACACGCTCAGGTAGGCGGGTCAAATTCGCTCGTCTTTTCGATCTTTGATCGATTACCTCTCTCCGTGGGGGGGTGATATGACGGCGTTAATTTCTGAACGCACCACTTCAATTAAACACTGTAATGTAGATCTGGCAACATTGTGAGAGACAGTTGTTGTGACGCAAAATCTGTAGACATATACGAGGTCTCTCAGTGGTTTCCACTCAATTCCTTGTTTTAATTTAATGTTCCTTTAAGATTGTAACGTGTGAGATGTTTAGTATAACAGAGTGATAATAAACCATTATTATTTTACGCATAGACTTTTATTGGAGTGAAGATTAAAACTACTAAGTAGTACCCATACTACTACAGATACATATGCATACATAGAGTGCAATAGCTCTGACGTGTGGCACCTTTGGTACAACTTAGCAATCGAAAAATGAGTATTAAGCTCCAGCCATTGCGTATAAATTCTCGACACAGCAGACTCTATGGATAACCATCTAGTCTGACAGGCTTGAACAATTTTAAGAGGCTTCTGTCCATCGTTGATGGATTTGTATAGCTCTTTATAAATAACTTGTCTGGAAGACAAGCGAGCAAACCAATCATACGTCTCTCTAATTAAAAATTCAAGATTTCGCAGAAGAAATTCCTTTGCTGCTGCTGAAACAGCCAGTTGTAAGGAGTAGCATAAACAACGTACCAAAACTAAGTGCGGTATTTCTTGTTTCAATCGGGCAAAAACTCCATTATTTACGCCAACCATCACCGAAGCGTTATCTGTACCAATACCCATTACGTTTTCAATTCGCAAGTCGAAATGTTTAAGCGTCCGCTTTATGGCAGAAACAATACCTTCAGCATTACATGCGTTGAGTTCAGCAAGGTCCAAATAAGTTGAAACTATTTTTTCATGTGTAGTGCTGTAATAAATTATAACAAAACCCAAATATTTTTGTACAGCAATATCTGTGGATTCATCTATTAATAAACTGTATGGTTGATCTTTAATGTCGTTTTTTATAAGTTCTGTAAAATGAGATGCTAAAATATTTTTTTACTACATACGCGCACTTAGTTCGGTGCATCTGCATTTTATTTATTTCTTTTTCATGGCTATAGTTAATAACTTCTCCTAAATGATCAACTGTTCGTATACTTGTATGCATAGCTGTAAATAATGCAACTCTGACTTCATCTTTCTTTTTATTATCAGTAGACTCCTTTTTGAATGTCAGCTTAGGTTGTTTGGTGATAACCTACAAACAAATAATGAAATATATAAGAAAATTTAAATGCAACCTCATTAATTGACCAAGTGAACAACATAGCTTATGCAACTGCCCAAAACTTACTCGTTCCACTAACATAAGATACCTCGGACTTATCATTGACTACTGCCTATCTTGGTCAGAGCATATAAGCAATGTAACCTGCCGTATTAGAAAACTGATACCAATATTCAGAAAATTGAGGAATTCTGCTGACTTTGAAACATTGATATGTGTTTACTATGCTCTTGCTCAAAGTTTACTACAATACTGTATTGTAATATGGGGTGGAATTGGAAAAACAACTTTACTCCCCTTAGAACGTGCTCAAAGAGCAATCTTACAGGTAATGCTAGGTAAATCACAACGATTTAGCACCAAACTTAATTTTAAGGAATGCTCTGTACTTACTTGTAAGACAGCTTTTTGTCATGTCTGTTATACTACGTAAGCACAAAAATACAGAGTTTAAACCTAATTTAAAACGTAATAAAAATAGAATTTGTGACATGGTTTCTCATAGAACTGCTTTAGCACGTCGTTAACATTATGTCACTAGCAATTATTTATATAATGTAGCAAATAAAGTAAACAATATTTACCCTTTGTCCCTTTATAAATGTAAAGATAAAATCCTAAATTGGTTGCTAAGCCTTAATTACCTGGAAACAGAGAAGTTAATCAGTATTTAAGTTCTAACACACACACATGCATACACACACATTCACACAAAAACGCACACTATTACATGTACATGCACACACACAAACACACACACACACACACACACACACACACACACAACACACACACACACACACACACACACACACACACACACACACACACACACACACACACACACACACACACTGGTTTGTGGTAATTAGGAAGTTTTATCTTCATATTTTTTTTATTTATTATTTAACTTAACATGGTTGTGTATTATATAGCTAAATAATCTGTCATTTTTTACTGTATTTGTATTGTACTACTCAGGGTGGAAGACGCTGACGGCTGTTTGTGGCTGACACAGTTTATACTAGTATGGCCGTTAACGCAAACTAATTTGAAATATAATTTTGTAATTTTAAATAGATATAATACATAAGTGTAAACTGTTAATTGAGAGTCAAATAAATTATTATTATTGTTATTATTATTAAGTTCGAACCGTTATAAATAACAAAGACAAAGCTATAATTTACCTTTCTATTTTGTTGGTGCTTTTTCGAAAGAGCATGTGTTTTTAAATCTCCGTGGTGACTTCTTAATATCGTTCCAAAAACTTGCATTTTGCTACTTGGCCAGTGGTACTTTCAACTGCTTGAAGCCATTCTTTTAAATCGGTTATCTTGAAGCCAAGAATCCCTAAATTTTTGGGAATATTGAGGTTTCGGCATAACGTCGTATGAATAATATTTTCATTCAAAAATGTGTAATCGCAAAACGAAACAAAAACAAACAACAACGCACTGAATCCGAGTGACCGTGCGTGACCGAGTTCAAAAACATTGGACTAAGTGTTGTAAAATGCTGTCAAATAGAATAGAAAGCAGAAATTATATCCCTCTCAACTATTTAGTATTCCGGAGAGCGAGATACAGATAGATCTCGCCCCTGCATTTCCTCGTTTTTTATTAGTCGCCTTATACTAAATATATTTAACGGGGAACCCCCGTGAATGCTTTCCAATCCAATGTCTATGGAAATGAATTGGTGTTGCCTGCGTAGTAAAATATACTCCTAAAAATGTATAGGTGTATATTTTGAAAGTATAAAATATGGCTAGACAGACGTTTGAAACGACTATTTATATGAAACGACTCGTTTCTTATAATTTATGATAAAATTCCTAATCCGCTAAAAAAAACACTAGCCACTAAAAGCAAAAATTTGCCACTAAAAGGGGATTCCAAACCACCAGATTTAGTGGAAAATCCACTAAGGTGGCAATACTGTTGAGGTTGGTACCATAGTTAAACTAGGGATCTCGGAAGTTTAACTTTAGTACCATAGATAGTCCTAGAACCAGAGATAATCTTCGTTTTGGAATAACGTTTATTTAGTTATGGTAATGTTTATGGTATGTTTTATGGTACGTTTTATTTAGTTATGGTACAGTATTCAGTATAACTTTTACCGCCTTATTGCAAAACACGGACTAAATATGGTTCTGGAGTTAGTATTAGGTTTAAACCATAACTAAATAAAACGTTATTCCAAAACGAAGATTATCTCTGGTTCTAGGACTATCTATGGTACTAAAGTTAAACTTCCGAGACCCCTAGTTTAGGGATGGGCAAATGGAAAAAATATATCGATATATATCATATCGATACTTTTCAAATGTATCGATATATATTTTTTTAAAATATCGATATTCCGATATATCGATATTTTTTGCTCAAGAGAAAGTTACCTATATAGTTTGCAATCTCAAAAATTAGATAATAAAAAATGAAAATACATATCTGATATATTTATTGTTTTGTTTATTCATAAATTGCACATTTATATTGTTTAAAATTAACCATCACTGATACCAGTATTCGTCTGAAATAGACATCAGCAGCACTCTTTCTTTAATGTTATGCTCACCTGTCAATCTGCTCCTATTATCCGGCACTGTTAAATTAACAATCGAAGCAACCCTTTCGGATGATACCGAGGAAGCTTGACATATTAAATATTTAAGAGCGATATCCGAAAGAACCGGCGTGAAATGTCGGCAATTTACCCAAAACTTTATTGGATCTGACTTCCTCTCAAGAAGTGGTTGGTCCAGATATTGCTTAAGTTCATTGGGGACAGATCCTGAGCTTGGGACCTCTTGCGTAGCTGTTCTCAGATTTAAAAGCTGCTCATGCCTGCACCTGATTGATGACTCATTTGCTTTTTCTGATGTTGCTCGGTCAGACCTTACGTCTGGAGAACGTTGTCCTCTACGCCTATATTCTGAGCGAATATCGTCGCTTATTTTTGATATAGCATTTGATACGGCAATTGGAGAATTAAAGTGGATACGCTTGAAACGAGGGTCCAAAATTGTAGCTACTGAGAGAAAAGTATTTCGTTCTAGAGGAACTAGTTTCTCTTCAATTTTTTTGAGTAAAGCCTGTTTTACATTTATTTCTACAGTGGTCGACGGAGTTGATTGATCGGTTACTTGGTAAACTAAATTTAATAGAGAAATGGCTAAACTTACCGTCACATAATTGGCACCACTTATTTCTTCAGTAGCTTCTTTCAAAGGGCCAAGAAGAACAATAAGGTCGCGTATTATATTAAGTTGCGAAGTTGTAACCATATCTGGGGTATTTTTGTTTGTTTGGCTTTTGGTAGCTAAAATTTTAGCTACAAAAAGCCGACAGTGCAGACAGTTTAACGAATCTCTCTAACATATCAAAGCAAGAATTCCATCTAGTGTTAACAGCTTGTATCAATGTCAACACCTCGCCTTCTTTTTTTCCAGTTGATTCTAGTTCAGCTCTCAATTGGTCCATAGCATTAACTGACTGCTTAAAAAACGTCATAATCGCTTGACGTGATCGCAAAGTACTGAAAATGCGTTAATTTCTCTGAGTACCCCATCAACTACAAGGTTTAAGCAGTGAGCCATGCAAGGAATCCTGGGATCATCACCTAAAAATAATCGTACCGCTGACACTATATTTGCTCCACCATCAGTAGTAATAGACACGATTTTAGTTTTGTCAATATTGAACTCTTCACATATTTCCTTCCAACATTCTTGGATGTACTGTCCCGTGTGACCCTGAAGAATAAGTATATTATAATATAATAAGCTGTATAAATATTAATAATGAAATCTAAAAATATGAGACAAGGTTTGTTATTGTATAATGTACTTCAAATGTACCTGAGAAAGTTGCTGCGCACATGGGTTCAAGCTCTGAAGGGTAGGGGATCCATTTATGGTGTCGATAAAGTGAACTGTCAATACTAAAAAACTCCTCGTTGAATTGGTGATTGTAAGTATGTCACTTGTGAAACATATGAAAATTGTTTCATTTAAGATTTTAGCCAATTTAACAGTTGTGATGTTAAGAGAGCCATAATGTCCATCCATTCAAATTCAGTGACTGCATTAGTCGGAAAATGGTCATCTCTCTCATTGATCTCCTTTTACCTATAATCACGTCTATCCTGAATAAATCACTGAATTCTGCTTTTTTCCCTTCAGCTTGGAAAGACGCATTTGTAGTTCCTCTTCCGAAAAAGTCAAATCCCTCTAGTTTTTCCGATTATAGACCTATCTCTATTTTGCCTTTCTTTTCCAAAGTTCTAGAACGTCTTGTACACAATCAATTAAGCACCTATCTTTTAAAACACAATCTTTTAAATCCCTTGCAATCCGGTTTCCGTCCTGGCCATAGTACGACTACTGCACTTTTACAAATCACTGATGATATTCGGTATGGTATGGAGAAACAAAAACTTACTATTCTCACGTTGCTTGATTTTAGTAACGCATTTAATACTGTAGATTTTGATATCTTGTTAAGCATCCTACGTTCTCTCAACATATCTCCAACTGTAGTTGACTGGTTTCGAAGTTACTTGTTTGGTCGCCGACAGCGAATTCGGGTCCAAGAGGTTTTTTCCACCTGGATTACTACAGCTGCTGGTGTACCACAAAGTGGCGTGTTGTCTCCTCTCCTTTTTGCAATTTTCATTAACTCTATAAGTCATAATTTGTCCTCTTCCTACCACTTGTATGTTGATGATCTCCAAATCTATACTCAGTCCTCTCTTGAAGATCTATCTAAAGCAGTTGACACTATTAACGCTGATCTGACTTGTATTTCGAATTGGAGTAAATGTTATGGTTTAACGATTAATCCTAAGAAAACTCAGGTCATTGTCATCGGTAGTTCTAGGTTAATTGGTAAAATTGACTGATCTTCCCTACCCCCTATTATACTAGACTGCACTCTAATCCCTTACAGTAACAAGGTTAAAAACCTGGGGTTGTATCTTGGCTCCTGTATGTCTTGGACCTCACAGGTTAATGAGGTCAGTAGAAAAATGTTTGCTGCGTTAAGCTCTTTACGTAGATTACGTAATTTCCTTCCCACAGCAAGTAAAGTTACGCTCGCCCAGTCTCTTCTTCTGCCTATCCTTGACTATGCTGATATTTGCTATCTTGACATTACCGAGGAGCAGCTTAATAAGCCTGAGCGCATTCAAACTTTATGCATTAGATTTATATTTGGGCAAATATGATCATATCTCCGAATTTCGCAAACAGCTCAAATGGCTCCCGATCCGCCTTCGCAGGAATACTCACATTCTCTCCGCGTTGTATAGTGTGCTGTTTAATCCTTCTACTCCTCTTTATTTAAAAAACCGTTTCCAGTATGTCATCAATCAGGTGCAGGCATGAGCAGCTTTTAAATCTGAGAACAGCTACGCAAGAGGTCCCAAGCTCAGGATCTGTCCCCAATGAACTTAAGCAATATCTGGGTTAACAATACAATAACAATAACTAAGGGTTGCTTCGATTGTTAATTTAACAGTGCCGGATAATAGGAGCAGATTGACAGGTGAGCGTAACATTAAAGAAAGAGTGCTGCTGATGTCTATTTCAGACGAATACTGGTATCAGTGATGGTTAATTTTAAACAATATAAATGTGCGATTTACGAATAAACAAAATAATAA